TCAAAATAGTCATTTTGACTGACCGGAGTCTATGGTGGGTAATTGAACGTAGTGAATTGACTGTTCCTATTCACTACTATAGTACCAACATAATGGCAAACAGAATATGAAAGGGTCTTTGATACAATTTGTTTAGAGTAGCTTACCCTGCATGCCAATACACTGAGAACTCTTTCATGGAGATTCATGATAGGATAATTACTGCCTTTGTATCTATTCACCACCTATAGAAAACACAGACAATGATCAGACCCAACAAAATTGATTCGTGGATGCTACATACATACAGACATGATAGGACCTGTTTTGATGCATTGCTTCAATACTACAAGAGATTCCCAATTATTGTTTTCCTATCACCATTTCCTGATACTATTCACCCTTTCAGACCGGAAGACCAAAATGTTGCTGGAGTCATTTCATTAGCTGTCCATTCGAATAGATTGATAGCAAAACAAGTTGCATTTCATAGATTTGCAAAACAAATTTAAATTTGTTGAGAAAATATGAACTTAATTTAAATGTATTTTCCAGATAACATTCAACAGCCAATAACAAAAAGTCATGCATAACCTTGAGAAATATTATTTTGTCAGTGTGGGCTGAATTATTCATTTTGTATTGTAACAATCGATGTCAAACAGCAATTGAGAATTGGTCTAAATGAACAAATTATTTAGAAATGTATTATTTGAAGTCATGAGAATTGCAAAATTATCACAAAATCAGAAGACAAACACATATTTGAATGACAAAAAAAAAATTGTTTCTTTTTGCCTTATTTTTGTCAGTTGTCTTGAGTATTCCCACAACATGTATCACATGTTCTACTTTCTCGCATAGAGAGATTATCTTGTTCATTTCAGTTTCCACAATTGACCTTCCAATGGTTACCAACAAGCAGGCATAGTGTTTGGTGATGCCATTAGTCGATTGACACACACGCCTAACTCACATGAATTTGAGTTTCATCGCATATTATCATAAAGTAGATATGAAAGTTACACACCCTTATGAATCCTCAAACATAATTATTCAGGAACCAAAAATTGTTGAATTTGAAATTGAAATGAGAAATATGAATATTTGATACACGATTTTAACAGCGTTGGTAGATTTTTGTTTTCTGTGCGACCATCTTCCATATTAAAGTGATTATTAGAAGAAAGTATGACTTACAGGGTCAGTGTGGAGTCCTACAATAATATATTCACCAAGCTCACGAGCTTTTTCCAAGAAATCTAAAAGTCCAACATCTATAGTGTTTTAGAGGTTAAAGATGAAATACTAATAAAACTCAATGTTGATTTCTCAGTTAATACCGATAAGTATGATTGTATTACTGGAACATGTACTTTCTTTGCACAATATGTAAATGACAGAGATATATCTATCATCAAGGTAAATCATATTTAATTTAATTTTTGTTTTTATTTTGGATATCCTGATGGACGTATGACAACCGTGACATACAGTCTTGAGTTCAGCTCAACCATGTTTAAGAATCGGTAGGAGAACGAAGTTGAAACACTAAGTATATCTAAGACAACAGACTTGATCATCAAATAAAAAAAGGATACGAAAAAGATCAAATGCTCCTGGTACATAAACTATTTTCTCTCCTGGTTTTGGCTCCCTCCCTTCTGAGAACTGGATAATTTTGGAAGTGGTTGGAAGGAACTGTGAGACTCCTGTGTACGGACTTTTCTTGCTCGGTCCCTGAAAATATAAAACATGAATATATTAGACACATAGACATGGACAGTGGACTAATGTTGATTTCAGATTGCTAAAAGAAGAGATAAGATGTGTGGTAACCATGCAAAACACCAACAAATATGTGTGGTTTATCTTTTATGAGACAGGAAAATTATTCTGTGAAATTGACAACCATTGACAACAAGTTCTCAAACTGCATAGCTTTTACAACTGAAGAAAAAAAAATACAAGTTGCATCAAGTGTACATGTTGAATATCAAATGCAAATGTCAAACAACTCCATACCTAGCATACAATATAATATTCATGTATACACTAATGTCCTGTTATGTATGTTTCTGCAAAATTGATCAAGGTGATACCACAAACAAGAGAATATGCACATATTCAGCAACAAAATGGTCACCAGTCGGCCATAATTGATCAGATTGTCAAGAAAATGCAGTGCAAATATGCCCCTTGATGTAATGTCCTAGTGTCCAGTTTGAGCACAGAAGATCAGTATTTTTTGCCCAAGCAATGAGACAACATGAACAGTTCAAAATAACAAACTACATCTCTCCAATTTTAATGTCTGAACATAGATTCATAATGTTCACAATTTTACGACAACATTATGTTGTGTTTTCTAAATCACTGTAATATGTACACAAATTCAGTAACATTGTCTACTTTCTGATTTTACTAAATGCTGAAATGCACTAAGCCTTTGAGTGCCAAATATTCTGCCCACCCAAAATTCAGTGCAAATATTTTCAAATTTTGTGAAATTTTCATTCAATTTCATCATTTTGAACCACACAGGTATTGTTTTTATTTTTTTGATCAAAAGATTTTTAATTTTTCTCAATTTTCATGTGAAGAGAAGCAGACAATAAAATAATGTTGTAGATGGTGCCAAAAGTTGACAATAGCGCTCAAAGAGTTAAATGCATTAATACTGGTATACTCACCAATATATGCAAGTATAAAATAACATACTGTGAAATACTTTATTTTCGCTGGAATTAATTTTCGCTGAAAGGGCTTTTTGGGGCGTTTTGCTTGAAATTTATTTTCACTGATTTTTGATGAGTTTTATGTGAAATATAGGAAAACAAATATATTCGCTGGATTTTATTTTCACAGAATCATCCCTTCAGCGAAAATAGCGAAAATAAATTCCAAGCGAAAATAAAGTATTCTACAGTAATTACAAAAATGCATTTCTTGTATTAACATGCCACTTACATAAAATTAAATTAATTACTTGTACTATAATATTCATGGTAATGAATGAAGAGAAATAAATTCACTGGTAAATTATACTAATTACTTTTTATAATTAATGTAATTTAAAAACTCAGAATGAAGACAAACTCATGGTAGCATTGATGAGTTTTGATTAATTATTGGTCAAGCCCAATTAGTACCATCTACAAGTATATATGTCTCTAGTATCAACATTTATAAAGCTATTTATAAAGTTACCGGAAGTGATACTTTATTTGATTTTTGTAGTTTAACACTTGATAATAATTGAAGAAACAACATTTACTTATTTTTAAGCATGCTTAAATAATTTTATTTGATGTTGCTTCTTTAAAAAAACTGTGGGGTATGTTTATTGTAAGATAAAAAAAAATATCAGTTCTCTTTTGATGAATTAATGAAGGCAATTGTGCGATTGCACTTCAAATTACCTGTAGCATATTTGATCAATCAGTAGCACATTCATACATAAAAGTTTCAAAACGTCAAGTCTTTGATCAAGATAAGTAATATTTTAATGATTCAGCATACAATACCAGTAAATTTTGGCTTATGTATACTTCTATTAGAGATGTGCTTTTAATATAATGCCAAATCTGTATGTACATGAATTGATAAATATTATTGTATGAATTATTTAATGAATAATGCCATATTTATTTCCAAAACAATGTTTTCTATTATATGATAAATCATACATTATTATTATATCATGATGCAACATCAAAACAAATCATTTAAACACACTCACACTCACGTATTGTTGCTGTAAAGAAAAATTTATTTATTTGATCACGGACATCACATTACTTGATATGAACCAATTTTGATCATAAGCACCATCATGTGGCTGGGTGGATGATAGTGGATACAATATTATTGTTATACACAAATACAAATAAAATAGTTTTTTTTTTACATATATTCTTCTTACCATACCTTATATTCCTGGAGTGGAAAATAATAAAATAAAAAGAAAAATTATCTTCAACTGAAATAATAAAGGTATTGTAAAATAACGTATAAAAGATGCTAATTATACTTGACTTGTTATTTATTTTTAAATTCTAAATCAATAAAAAGTTAAGTTTGGACATGCTGCCTACTAAAGAAAAGATTCTGTTCGTATTAAAGCACCCATAAATTAATGGTAGAACTTATTAGTTGTGCAAACTTACTGTTTTTTTGAATTCATCCACTTTTTCTCGTGGTAAACCAGAATTATTGCCATCTTCACCCCGCTTGTGATGAGTCTTTGTCATTAGTAACATCCTACAAAATGGAAGCATGAAGTTAACGTAGGTTTAGCAAAGAAGACCAGACTGCAGTGGAAGGCACAAACACTGCTCATTTATTTTACATTACAGTGGTACAGTTAGCAGCTTTGTAAAACAATTACTAATTGTTGTTTTTTCCCCAATCTGGAGTGGCGATGAAATGCCCACAATTCAAATTTCCCATCATCATAGTAAATGTGGACAAAGCGTAGTTTTTTCAAAAAAAATATGCATTTGTTAAAATACATTGCACATGTATCAACATGTTTTAAATAGTTGTGACCATTAGAACTTCATCAAACGTGGCATGGTTTACCAATGGGTACAAATGGTAGCGGCTAGTGTGGTAAAGTTTGTGAGTGGCCAATGAACTGCCATTATGAGACTGTTTAGAACAATGATGTTTGTGAGTGATTTCTGTCTCTACAGCTACCAGCTGGAATGAATAAAACCTGTAGTGCAGTAACGAGTAACATTTCTATATACTGTCAATTTGAGAAGTCAAACTTTAGCAGCAATTCACTTTTTTAAAAGATTTAAAATATTTACAGTGTATAAACAAACAAAATAAAAAATGATGAAAATTATACATGTATGTACACACTAGAGAATATTTGCAATTCATTGTGCTGACCACTTCTATAAAAAAGTGAATTCTAGACAACATACCTGTCAGATAAATGTCATAATTGTAAAGACTGAACAAGGAAAACAAAGTGTTCTGCAATGTTACTATTTTAAGTAACTGAATACTGTAAAATACTTTATTTTCACTTGAAATTAATTTCCACTGAAAGAATGATTCAGTGAAAATAAAATCCAACGAATATACCCTTTTTTCCTATATTTCACATTCAACTCGTCAAAAATGTTCAGCAAAAATTAATTCCAGCTAAAATAAAGTATTTTACAGTAGTTAAGTCAAGTGATACTCTTATGCCCAGGGAAGCTGAAAAACACTAGCCTTATCTTTTTATTAATTTTACACATGAAAAATTTATTTCCAGTGAAATCCCAACTCGCCTTAATGTTTTTAGGAGATTATTATTCACTCACCAGCCATTTTCAAAAATCAAGGCTTAGATCAGCCATAAATACATCATAATATCAAAACGAACTTAGAATCCAGTTCTTTTAATCTTTAACTATATACATGTACATGTATACTATAAAACTAAGGCTTTGGGTGTATAAAATGAGTATCCAAATCCCACTCTGCAAAATTGCTGTTTAATGATCAGAATATATGGAGTATTTTATTTTTTTATCTGAGCTCAATGCCAAGATTTATTGGAACAGAACTCGGCTTGAGCCGAACGTGATTTTTGCTGGCTCAAGCAGTTGGGTCTGGTAAAATGCTGGTAGTACTTTATGATATAGAATATTATATCAGGAGATAGACACCAGTGCATCCTGGGATGTATAAACATTTGTTTACCTGCCTTGAAAAAATGGCTTTCTTACACAAGCACACGTGTAAATGATTAACATAGGATTAACTAATATGAATGAACATTAAACATACCTCCCAACAATATCAGTAGTTGACACACCAGCAGTTCTTGGAAACTCTCTATAAGCAAGAACAACATTAATTAAAGTAGCATTAAATTCAATAGCATTACATATATTATTATGTACTGTAAAATGACTAATTTTCACTGGGTTTAAATTTCGTTGATTTACCATTTCAGGCATATTCAGTGGGTTTTAAAGTCACGATTTTGTCATTTGGATAATGTGTTCTATGCTACATTTTACATATTCACTGGGTTTTAATTTGGTGAAATAAGCAAAAATCAAAACCCAGAGAACAATTAACCCTTTTACAGTAATGAGTATTAATAACTGAAGATTTGTTCCCATGGTAACCCTCAAGTGATTAGCGTACATTTAACTGTTTACAGTATGGTGTATTGCCCTGGATCAGGAAGAATATCTTATTAATAATTAATTCCATCTAAAGGACGGTGGTTGTTATCCAGTACATATACAAATTTTGTGCAAAACAATGTAGTTTACATACTATATTAATGGGACTCACAACGTACATTACGTGTTGTGGCGACCACTACCCTTCAATCAATGGGAGATGTGTTGCCATGCTTCACTTACTTGTATCTACCTGCCGATTTCACAATCCGATATGTATCTTGGCCATTTTCGTCACATGTAATATCATCTACAAAAATTCAAAATTATAATATAGAATTTAGTTATTACCGGTAAGTAACTAAGTAAGAATAGATACAAGCTAATACTGGCAAACTTCCACCATTTGGAAGATGCATGGCAAAAGTGAAAATAAAAGTACTGACTATGTGATAGTATATCCAAATATAATTTTGCATGGAAACTACTGGCTAGAATTTAGGCTGAAACAACTCTGACCAAAACAAACAAGAACTATAAGGTCATCATAATTAACTGAAAAGAATTAATACTTTATCTAATGTATTAATCTCAAGGTCCTTTCCCGTTTCAGCATTCATTAAAACAAATTTTCTGTCATTTTGAATTAGATCTGAAAAACACTGTATATTTAACATTAAAATGGCTGCCATTCAGCCATTTGGAATTTGATCATCAAACAGATATATAAACATATGTGTAACATTCAACAAAATGGCCACCAGTCAGCCATTTTTAATCCGATCTGAAAAACAAAATAACGTGCATCAGGTACCTGTAACTAAATTATTCGAAAAAGCTTCAAAGTCCCATAATGTCTATTGTATGTACTAAGTTTGAATAAAATCCATCAACATACAACTGGTTCCACAGTGGCAGAAATGTTTGATTTTGATGAATTCTAGCAAAATTGGCAGTTTCAAGATCTTATACGTGTCTGATTTCTCTTACCTCCATGTGCACAGAAATCACAATTGTATTTATCTAAAGTTTCTAATGTTGTAACATAGGGGGCGTCTTCTATGACTTCATCCACCCATTTAATAGCTCGTACCATTCTGTATCGTTCTTGCTCATTCATTACCGGAGGTCCTTTGTGCCGAGTAACTTCCTCTGCAATATGCGAGCGAGTTCAAGTGATTAAATAAGACTTCTTGTTGTGTCAAAGGCCAAGTAATGGTTACCCAATCTCATTGTTACATTCAAGCAAGTCAAAAAATCAAAACGTGGAAAAGACTTTGACCCAAAAATGTTTTGCTCACTACTATTGAATAGGCAGCTCTATGGGTACTTGACACAAATGCAATCACTTTCCAGATTTTGTCCATTTTCATTTTTTTTCAATTCATTTGATGCTGGTCAACAAACTTCTGACAACATCTCCTTTCGAATTTCACTGGTAAATGTTAATTCAAGTACTACACAGGTCAGGAACGTATGCTAGTGTTGGCCATTTGGCCAAGTTAGCACTCTCTGGCTTGTATTCAGAACAAACAAAATACACTGCCTTTATTTGTTTTGTATCATGATACTGATATTCCCAACAAATTGTTTTCAAATGTTTTTGTAATAATGTGTCAAGTCAATTTTTCATTTGACCAGTCAATTCATCATACCACCAGCACTGTTGTTCCTTTTGATGACGTTCTGAACACTCACTTGAATATTCACAGTAAGTATAAGTGATTCACTATTACAGATTTACTCCAAAGCGATCTATACATGTTTCAGTATGAAGCAATGATTTTAGTCCCACTACGACATACAATCTGCTGTTTTTTGTTTGTAGCCAATTACTATAAGTGTCTCCCAATCACTCCATGACATGGGAGATAAATGAAAGACAGTGCAATTCTGACAAAAAATTCTTTCATTTGGCTAATAAAACAGGCAATATATAATCAGACAAAATAATACATGAACAAGAATGCTGCAAATTGTCTACTACATGTCCCATATATAAATCTTAGTAATGTATGCGTTCAAATGTCAGATTCAAATGGTCCAGCACTTTGGCTGATGGAGCCAGGTCAGAACATTCTACGTTGTTGGATGTACACCACTGTACTATGTGTTTCTATGGGCTGAGCAGGAGCTGTTTTGGAATGCTGATGAAAAAAGTCAGTGAAAAATATCGCGAAAACAAACCCAATTTTGAGTTAGTCCTCTATAACCAAATTGATACATGTTGCACATGTAGCAGTAGTTTTCTTACAGTTTTCAGGAGAGTAATGTTGCACATGTAGCAGTAGTTTTCTTACAGTTTTCAGGAGAGTAATGTTGCACATGTAGCAGCAGTTTTCTTACAGTTTTCAGGAGAGTAATGTTGCACATGTAGCAGTAGTTTTCTTACAGTTTTCAGGAGAGTAATGTTGCACATGTAGCAGTAGTTTTCTTACAGTTTTCAGGAGAGTAATGTTGCACATGTAGCAGTAGTTTTCTTACAGTTTTCAGGAGAGTAATGTTGCACATGTAGCAGTAGTTTTCTTACAGTTTTCAGGAGAGTAATGTTGCACATGTAGCAGTAGTTTTCTTACAGTTTTCAGGAGAGTAATGTTGCACATGTAGCAGTAGTTTTCTTACAGTTTTCAGGAGAGTAATGTTGCACATGTAGCAGTAGTTTTCTTACAGTTTTCAGGAGAGTAATGTTGCACATGTAGCAGTAGTTTTCTTACAGTTTTCAGGAGAGTAATGTTGCACATGTAGCAGTAGTTTTCTTACAGTTTCAGGAGAGTAATGTTGCACATGTAGCAGTAGTTTTCTTACAGTTTTCAGGAGAGTAATGTTGCACATGTAGCAGTAGTTTTCTTACAGTTTTCAGGAGAGTATCAACAACTAGCCAAAAGAAAAGTTTTCTGAGAGTTTTCAGCTTTTTTTCGCCGGTAATGGTTGCCAGGCTGTGAAAATACCCGGATGTTCGCACGAGAGATTATGTCTTTTTAATAGAGCAAATACAGTACATGAACTTGATTGACTGTTTATATATTAGCCTTTACATATTCTCTGTAATGAGTATGTGCCAAAAAAAAAAAAAAAAAATCCAATTCATTTCTGACGCTAAATTTTGAATCAACTCACCATCACTATGTACACCAACCATTAAATAGTCTCCTAAATTTTTTGCTTGCCTCAAAGAATTGGCGTGACCGAAGTGAACCATATCATAGCTGTAAATAACAATAACATTGAACTTATTGCATACTCAGAAATATAGTTTCCATTGATTATTGGTAATAAACTGTTATTAATAAAATATTATACATATAATACTGTAAAAGATGGTACAAAATACATTAAAATTAAAAAGGACAGAGGTGCTATACTGCATACTATATATAAAAGCATTTTTCACTGCCATTTAATTTCATTCTTTTAACATTTGACTATATTCACTGGGTTTTAAATTAATAAATGAAAAATGTTTTATTGTAATTTCATATACTTGCATGCATATAATTTTTAGTAGATTTCACTTATCAGCAAAATTAAAACTCAATTAATTAATGAGTTTGTGGATAATTTTATACATGTACATGATAAAATGATGATGATACACACTGCCATAATTGTAAAAATAATCACTTTCCTAAACATCATTTCACTGACCTATCCGACAATCTGTAGTGGTTACCTTTCATATAAATTGACTTGTTTATACCTTCTCTGTAATTTTTTTTATAAAGAATAAGCTGGCAACCATTGAGACTAAAATTAGAACAGCTTTTTTTTACTGTATTACTTATGATCACTATATTCCCAAAATAGCTTTCCTCTCTAAAAAAAACAAACAAAAAACATCATAAATAAAAATAAACAAAATTGTTGATGTTACCGGTACTACTGTAAGTGATTTCAAAATTTATATTCACAGTGACCAGATTGCAAGAAAATCTAATGATTTTCACTAAACAAGTACAAATCTGTGATGTCACTTGCTAAAATAAGAGTTTACAGTCAGTTAATACAGCAAGAGAGAAGTAAACCATATACATCTAACAGGAAGGTTCAAAAAATTTGAAAAATATATCAGCTCTGGAATTAAAGATATAGAAGGAGAAAGAAAGCCAAAAATAATTTTGTCATTATAAATCAGAAATTAAAAACAGGACTCCTGAAAAATCTGATAAAAACCTACTTTGAGGCTGAGGTTCCATCTTGACTGTTGTCCTCATAGAACGATTGTACAAGGTCAATTGTGAGTGCGATAACAGCCGCAGACACACTCACCACTACAAAAAGTGTCATTATCAGTTTGGAGTCACTTGGAATGATGAGTTCATGTCGGTGTTTTTTTTTCAGGTTTAACAGTAACAACAGAAATCTACATTGTCAGCTACGAATGACATGTACATACATGTTTTCACAAGTTGATTAATGCTAACTAAAGAAATCATTACGATGTGAACAATTACAAATAATGTCTCTTAGAACAAGCACCCTTAACATGTCCAATATTCTGCCACAAGGCCTAAATAATTTACCATGACTCCTTAGCTTCTGTACCTTGAACATGATGATTATTAAGACAGCCTACAGCTGGTTTCTATAAACAAGTAGCTTTGATTGGTTGTTATACCAACTGATTTTATCAATTTTTTAAGGTGATCACACTAATCAGTGGGAGCTGTGTACTACAAATTAAAAATAAAATTTTTGGTGAGAGTTAAATTATAAAAGTTTCTTGTCCAGGATGTGTTATTATTTGATTTCCGTTAATTTCTAGACATTCCTGTCCTATTCTTGGTATGGGTGCAATAGTTTTGTTCTCATACATAATAATCTATTCTTTTGAATACACTAGCCTTTCACTCAAAGACTTCTGCCGACATGAATGTATTGAGAGGAACGAACTTGTGGTGGTAATATTATGATCTGTATACATCACATTGGTAAAAATATAAATAACATAAAATTGGATGACTTTTTGCAAAGTTATGTGGAATTTCAGCATTTTCAATACACTGATATAAATGTAATTTTTAAGTGAACGTTTTTTTTTTATGGGCAAAAGTCCTAACTAGATCATGAACTTTTGAATGGGGAAGATCGGCAATGTGAGATCAGGCTCATTGCTGTTTAATTCAGACATGTGTTCATGGTGGCCATGATGATGCAAAGGCTGTAGAAACACATGCATTATGTATTGCAAAACTAATTTTTCGAAGAAGTTTAATTTCAGGCAAAAACTTGTGTTGCAATTATTTTTAGACAAACCACAATTACTTTATGTTCATTTTGCTATGGATTACTACCAGGTGGCCAAATGAGCTATAGGAATTTTATTTACCTTGTGTGAAGTTATCAAAAACTATTAGAGCTATTATATTTATGACCATATATCGAATATAGCTAAGAAAACAACTACTGTAAGTGTAAAAGGTTTAATTATTCACTGGGTTTTAATTTTGCTTATTTAGCTGACTGGAAAATGAGCTAAATTAAAACCCAGTGAATATGTAAAATTGAGCATAGAACACATTATCTAAATGATATAACCGTGAATTTAAAACCCACTGAATATCCCTGAAATGCTAAATCAGTGAAATTTAAACCCAGTGAAAATTTGTAATTTTACGGTATATCCTTGAACCAAATGATTAGATCCTCTACTCTGGTTACCTTTCGATTTTTGTGTGAATGTTTCAGCCCTTTCATAATAATCTGGAAATGTTGCTTATATTTTTTTGCTCCTACAGTCAGTGGGTGACGGAAAAGTTGATTGGTTAAGAAATGTAGCACACTGCTAAGATGAATATGCTAATTTTTGTAACAGTTATGTTCTCTGTCAGCATTAATTATTCGTTGGTTTTTAACTTCACTAAACTTGTAGAATAACAATAGAACTCATTGTTTCCCTGCCATGTTTCTGGAATTAAAACCCAGTGAAATTGCTCAAAACATCAAAATAGTGAAATTAAATTTCAGTGATAATAAATGTTTTTACAGTACAATAACTAATAGATGCTACTGAGACGAAAGTACAACCACTACATTCTTCGTGATGTTGGAATAAATTTACATGGTTAATGAGAAAAATTAAGGAAAAACTTTCAGACCATTATGGGGAAGACCCACAAAATAATAGGATAGTAACCATGCTAGAAAACCTCATACATCAAAGCACAAAGACAAAAAGAAGTAAACTGGTTTTAATCCTAATTGAGTCTTTGTTTTGAGCTAACAATTCTTTTGTATAATATATGTTAAGCCTTTCATTCTGACTGGCTTCTGTGAACACCGAGGTGTTGAGAAGGAAGGAACTTTTGTTGGAAATATTATGATTTATGTACATTGTACAGTTTTCAAAATCTCATGACAAGAACAAAAATGTTGGCAAAATTTCAACAACATTTTCAGGCTATTGTGAAAGGGACAAGAAATAGTAGGAAGATATTAAGCAAGGCTAGTAAATTGGTTATATGTTATTTTCATTCAAAACTGACAATTCTGTCAAGATTTTTGACAGTTTTGGTCGATTTCAGTACAGAAATCGGAAAAAAATTATTAATGAGTTTTGTATTTTTTTAAGGCGTGTAGCGATGAAAAATAAGGAAAAAATTGACATAAATGTTCAGATCTCAAGTGACTGATCACCACTGTAGTTATTACATATGTAGTAGTACCTGTTTACAGATCACATAGACAAAACAGACAAAAAAACATCAACGACCACTCACAGTTCAGCTGCAACAATGATTCAATAACGAAACATAATTGCCAACTCAGCTAGTGCGAGCACCCCTGACTCAGTGACTGGGCAAGTGTGATTATCTTGTTATATACATTTGATTTCATGATATAGCAACGTACGCCGTGACATAGCCCATAACACTTTTTTAACAAAAAAATACATATACAAGGTTGATCACTTACCAACCATCCACCCACACTCTCACCGCTTTCTTCTTTTTCTGATCAGTCATTTCGGACGAGCTTGAGTCGGATTCGCTTCTACTTTCACGTTTGGATGCCATCTCTGCGTAATAGTTGCTTTTGCACTTTGACCTCATCGGACCACCTATCTTTTCAAACAGAAGAATAGGGTCATTCGAAGCGATTGTTCTTTTCAGTCGATTTATAGTGATCAACAGTTATCACATTTTAACATTTTTCTTCTCATTTTTACATTTTTGCATTTGTCCGAGGGAGCTGGAGAGTATCTTTATTGGGAAAAGGCGAGGCATAGGGAGTTGAATTTGTCATACCATTTGGAATATTCCATTGTCATGCAGTGTTCATTATAGGGGTGCTGCCTTCAAGTTAAAACTTTATTCACAGTCTCTCTATGATAAAGAAACTGTGCTTTATTAAAGTGTTTTTTTTTTTTTTTTCGTGCATGTACAGCTGTGGGGGCGCTGATTAAATTTGCATTAAATGTCTGGCTTTGTTATATCTTGGAATACAGTATACAAAATGTACAAACGAACACTCCATCATAGAAGCCCGAAGTTAACCTCAGATTGACCTGTGGATTGACCCTCATATGTTGGTTTCAGATTCATGCCTGGAATCAAATACGATTGTCAAGTAGATAAGCAAGGATCAATCTGTAAATAACCCGGGAGTCATTCTGATTAAAATAAGATCATAGACTTAGGCTTATTTTTTATTTTATTTTCATTTTTATTTTATTTTTTAATATTTATTTATTTTTTATGTTTTTAATTTAAAAATCTATGATGATGATGCTGTGATGACGGGTTCCGAATCGGAGGCTGGATATGAATCTGAAGCTAACTTCAGGCTCGTATTCAACATGGCGGAAACGGACGACGAAGTTGACAGCGCCACATTTAAACAAGTAAGTGATTTATTTTCTAAGGTCCATTGTTTCGTTCCAACGCTGTTCTGTACGTTGGAATGCTATTTTGTCCCAACGCTGTTCCGTCCGTCTGAATGCTATTTTGTCTCAACTTGACTCTATACAAGAATTCAACTATTTCATATTTTTGCCAAAACAAAAATAATGATATTTAATAAAAATGGCAGATTGTTAAATTATAAATACAATTTTTATTACAATAATGAAGAAATAGATATAGTTAGTAATTACAAATATCTAGGTCTGGAATTTAAACCAAGTGGGAAGTTTGATTTAGCAAAGGTAAATTTGTACAAAAAAGCTGTTAAAAGCATTCTTCTATATTAGAAAAACTATTAACACACAACTAACATTAATGTGAACACATGGATCAATATTTTTGACCATGTCATTAGACCAATACTAACATATGGGTGTGAAATTTGGGGAATTGAAAAATATACTGACAAAACACCAGTAGAAAAATTAAATCTAAAATTATGTAAGTTATTATTACAGATAAATCAATCATCCACCAATCTAGCAGTAAGAGGAGAATTAGGTAGATACCCACTGTCAATATTATTATAATAGCAGGGTGTATTGTAAATTTCACTATTACAATGTAATAACATCATTTTCAGTGTTCAGTTGAATTTTTTTAATATATTAAATAGTGCAAATTGTTTTTGCTTGTGTATATCTGTGTTATTCACAGTCCCTCTATGTCCGGTCTGGAAACTGAACAAAATGCAATCTATTGTACCGATGCTAGTTGGTAAATGCGGGTAAATAAACGATTGACACCTTAGATAAGTGTTTCAGAAGTTATACCATCCATGATGCGATCCAAGTTATGCATGCATATAATTAACTTACAGATTTTAGTATCAGTGCGCATGTGTACATGTTGTCAGCAATATTAAAATAAAGAAACACAGAAGTTATTTTGGGATTTACCAATATTATGATATTATAAGGCAAAAGTGGAAGGGGGAGCGAGTTGCGGACACAGGCGTCGCAGCGAACAGCTCCATGATGCGACTCGCCTATGAATTGCATCATGACGATGAGCGCTATAATAAAACTTCCTTACTTATTTCGAAACTGCTTGTTCTAACTGCCTAACACATTTTGTTCTGCCATTCACTTGTAATTGGGGCAGAAACTTGCGCTACCAATGTGTGTCTGTTGGGAAAATTGTAATGGACCATGAATAAAATGACCTACAACTTTATTCTATGAAGTATAATATCAATATTAACATAAATATTGGAAGACTCTGCCTACATGTATTATACAAATATACAAAACAAAATCATTCTGCCAAACAATTATCATATCATTAAGAGATCCCCATTTTGATTTCATGGATCTGTTTAGTATCTAAAAATGAAGACTTTTTTGGAAAAAATATCTACTATACCATCCTACCAACTTTTCAACACACTTTGAACTTTTTAAAATGAAACATTTGCCATTTGCCATTGTTTTAAAGAATAACAGGGACAGAAACATTGAGTACATTCACATGTCGGCAACACAAATGTCACAACATACCCGGTATATGTACATGTATGTCAAAATGTGAAATAATTTGAAACATATTCGTAAAATTGGTTGTATTCTTGCCAAAACCATTAAAATCTTGACCAAACCACTGTGACCGTATAACCCACAAAGTCACCTCGCAGTGTGGATTGCCATTATGTCCATTGTCCCACTAATCCAGCTGATTGACACTATGAACTATAAGCGTTTCCAGACTGGAGGCACTGTGTGTTATCACACAACAGTAAATGACTGTTATGTCACGTGAGTACTGTAAGAGAGAAAAACACCTTAAAAATTTGCCAAAAAATCACCTTGGTCTCATGATTTTTTGTTTCCATTTAATTTTTTTTAAAACCCAAACTGCCGTTTAACTGCCCAGGGTCAATTTACGGCAGAATCTAGTACATGTACCAAAATACATTCAAAAGTGTATGTTTTTTCCCCAAAAATTCCTCCTGTAAAATAGGCTTATCAAACAAAAGAGCCAACCAATTCTGAAAATATAATCGGTAGTGTGTTAAACGATGACAAAAATTAAATTGATATACCAGTATAAGATGCTCTGTAACTTTGACAGTCAATCAAATTTCACAAATTTAGTGAAACAAACAATTAACGATTATCATACCCTATTTGTTAGTGAGTTTTCTTGTATAATGATCCCAGGATAACGGTGACTTAACTACCAGTGGTCTTTTAAAATCAAAGTTCTCACTACACACGCAATAACACCAAAAGTGGATCTATAGCAAAATATTTAATTGAGCAGAGACTAATATCAAACTGCATGTGTACCACAGCTGTCTTGAATTCCTGCTTTTCGCGTATTATCAGAGTACTTCTTTCCAAAATGTCAAAAAACAAAACATATGTATTAAAATTAATGAACTTAAATAAATCTGCATTGGCATTGACAACAAAACAACATTGGGACAAAAGAATGTTGGAATGAAA